CCCCCAAACCAGTTCCCCCGGTCGCTGCAGCATGATTCTTTCACATTTTTAATGTTCTGCGCATGCACAGACCTATTTATAGGTCATGTGCACACTAGCGAAGCCAGCAGAAACCCAGCCCACCTTAGCAGCATCCCCATAGTCATGTGATCGAAAGTCAAACGCTTGGCAATTGGTTCGCATTTATGACCGGGGGGGAGGGTGTGTGTGTCATGCGATCCCATTTTGTGACCTTCTGGCAAGTGAAGTCAAGGGGGAAGCCTGATTCACTTAACAACCGGGTTACTGGCTTATCCACTGTATTGAATCATTTAACCAGTGTGGCAAGAAAAGTCATAACACGGGGGGGGAAACTCACTTAACAAACGGCTCACTTAACAACGGAAATGTTGGGCTCTGTTATGGTCGTAGGTCGAGGACTCCCTGTATGTATGAACACTGGTTCTTGGTGCATCGATGCCAACGGTGAGGGCATTATTCTTGGGTGTTGATGGTGGGTTCTCTTGATCTGACCTAGAAGATCTTGCGTGGTGTTGTTGGCTAGAGAAGAATAAAACATTACAGTCAAATCAGTTCCTTGTTCCAGCACCGCTCGGAATCGAACCTACATTAAATTTGTCGTCAAAAAAAGGGAGCTACGGCGAGGCACTTGGGGACTTCATAGTTTATTCCCCAAACATTAAACTCTTTACTTTCCCAAAGAGCTATTACATTTTGTTTTAAATGTTTGCTTTCCATTATCTTCACGCAGTTAATTTGGAGGCACTGAAGCCAAGCTGCAAAATTAATTAGGAAAGAAAAGTATGGATGAATCTTACCCTCCCTCTGATGGGTATTTTGTCACAGATTACGGCAATGTGGCTCTGGGTTTATTGAGCTGGCCTTTGAAGAATTCTACGGGGGATTTGTAGGATGAATGAGTATGCTGTTCACCTCCCAGGCCTATCTCTCCCAACTGTCTTTGTAGAAATAACTAACAGAATAACAGAGTTGTAAGGGACCTTAGAGGTCTTCCACCCAGATAAAACCGAGTGGCTGTTGTGCTTCCCTCCCACTAATTGGCCAAGTGTTCCATCTCTCAGGCTGG